CACCAGACTAGCCGGTGCGATCATGCGTTTTGTGCAATTCAACCCATCGAACGATTGCCTATTAATAATTTTCGCTACTTTGTGCTTTTGTCTATGTAAAAAGAGTTCAACAATTGGAAATTAGTTAAAAACGTACCAGCGCATGAAAGCTGAATTCGAAGCCTTGAAGGATGAATATCTTTCCATGATTCCCGAGTTAATAGTTTAACCGCCAAAACTCTCACGAGGCTGTAGGTGATACTCAACAACGAGGGAACGCTGAATTTGAATAGGCAAGGTTGAGTGTGGGCAGGGGGTTATTACGCTAAAATTTCAGCCTCCTAGACTTTGTGGTTCCTGAGGTGCTAATTTACGCGTAAAAACTTTCATTAGCCCGTAGGTGATATCCGAGAACACGGGAATGCTGAACTTGAACAGGCAAGGTTGAGCGTGGGCATGGAGCCAGTCCCTAAAATTTCAGCCTCCTAGACCCCGTGGTTTCTGAGATATTAATTTACCTGTAAAAAACTTTCACGGGGCCGTACGTGTTACTCGCAGGAACGGGAAGGCTGAATTTAAATTTGCCGCGTCACCTATCGGCGGGGAACACTACACCAAAATTTCAGCCGCCTAGCTTTTGTGGTTCCCGAGTTGAATGTGTGGGACACACATACACACACACACACACACACACACACACACACACACGCACACACAAACACACACACACATACAAACACACACAGACAACCTCGTGACAATATGCGTTTTGTAACACTGTTACACAGCACAAAACGCATAAAAACAGACAAAATGGTTAATGTGCTTAAAATTCATTAGTGTAGCGTTCCTTCGTGCATTGTATACGTGTGAGCTACAGAGAGGTCTTCCTCTGTCAGAGATTGCATAGAAGCAAACTAATTGCGGGTTTGACTTTTTGCCTGCCACTTGCCTCTCAAACATTACTCTAGTGGGAAGCAAAATGCACGGATCTGAATTTATTCCACAAAATTTTGTACATGCAGTTTCCGTCATCTAGTTTCAATGCTTTTTGGCCTAGATTTTGAAGCAAGTAGCGCTAGTATCCCTGCTGAAGTTTGAAGGTTCCATTCACTCCGCAAACGGGGGGTGCTTAGTCAGCCCACGATTCATTCATTCGTTTCGATGTTGTCAAAGAGATTACTAGAAAGTCAGACTTGCAATCAACTTGTTTACAAGCAATCCACAGCAACCCCCGAGATACTTCCGAGTGTCTCCACTCGCATAGAAAGCGAATACGGAAGGAGTTTTGACTTTTAGTTTTTGACTTGAGTCATTTTAATTGTCAGGAATCATTGGTAACTCCTTTTATGATTGTTGTGACTGAGGTTACATTTTCCAGTGATCAGCTTATTGGAGTGCAAGTAGTAGCTGTTTAGTAAGCGATAAGTAAAAGATCATTTTGCAGAGTTGCCGAAGATAGTTGCCCGGTTGGTACACAGACGTCGTTTAGCCAACGTTACGCTTATTTGGCGGATTATTTCCGGAGCGGTAAAATGAACCCGACAATATGGAGTACGGTTTCAGTTTGAAGTTTGAAATGTTCTAGTACCATTTTCGATCTTTTCTTTCAAAAAAAATATGCATGTTCCTCCTTTTTCGGTCTACATTCCTCAGTAAAGTTTGTGGCCTCAACTTTTCATTTTCTTCCCGTAACCGGAGATAAAGATTGAGATCGAAGATTTCAGTGAATTTTAGGAAACTGCCTAACCCAATTATTCTTTCTCGTCAAAGATGAAATGGCAATTGCAACCAGGACGGATAGGGGATACTTGTTTCCCTTGCAAAAAACATAGAAGTTTACTGGAAATTTTTTAAGGGAAAAGTTACGGAAATTAGTGGAACAGAAAAGTAGCAGTAAGTGAGTTTTGCAGGAACTACAGCTGTATCAGGACCCATAGTAGGCGCTTATGAACCAAAAAAAAATCACTTTTGCAGCAACAGAACGAGCATCCGGGAAGCATCAGCATGAGTTAGCCCGGCCAACAATTGTAGTACCAATTCGCGAAATGATCGAGCATGCAGTTCCATCCAGTGTGCTGAATACGCTATCACAGTTTTCGGAACCGAGGACCGAAAAAACTGTGCCATTTGCCAGCAAAACTTTCGACTCCATTTACATTCATTCGATTGACGAGGAATTCATCGTATGCTTTCTTTGCTTTTCTGCTCGATTCTGTTGTCGCCAACTACTTATTGCTGTTAATGTTATTGAGGGACAGCCAAACCAGTTTAGACCTGACCTATCCTGAAGATTGCCTAGCTCCAGCTGAAGCCTCTCTTATCCAACACGCTCCATTTCCTGGAAAGTCATCCGGTCGTCGCCTTCTCCATGGGTTTTATTATTTCGTGAGTTCCATCATCTGCTAATTAAACTATGCTGACGTTCGTTTCGTCAATTGAAACGATCCACGGTTCAGCGGTTTTTCACTTAGCAATGTATGCGCTGAAGTTATCTCAAATCTTTTAGCACATTTCTCAATTAGTTGATTACAATAGTGTTATTTTCAGGTGATGAAGTCGTTAGTTCGCCCGAAAAAGATAACGATCATTGGGTCAGACGGCAAAAGATATCCGTTGATGTGCAAAGCCAAAGATGAATTGCGGAAAGATGCCCGCCTGATGGATATCAATCGAGTATGTTCCGCTTCTGCTTCAGCACGAAATTTAAGTTAAAAAAAAAAATAATTGGTCAACGCACGGGGTGTCCGTGCGAAGATGCGTTTTTTGCAGAGTTCCCCGCAGTTTTTGTCGCTACCGGCATCGGTTTT